GTAGCTCTTTAACGTTTGGTTCAGTTTAACTGCCTGAACAATAACTGGGCATTTAAAAATATTTTAGTTTTCTAGAAATGAAACTTTCTTTATAACAGGTAAGCCTGTTGCTTTACTTTCAGACATTTGACTTTCAAAAGAGGGACCTGCCTTACAGATAAGGGAGACGTTGGTTGTGTCAGACTTGTGGATTGACGTCACTTGAAAGTGTAACTAATGTGTTGATTTATCTGTTATTGATCACAGAACTCCCCTGTGCATCTTATGTAATGCATAGTCTGTAGTGGCTGTGGCAAAAAAGTTATAAAAAGGATGCTTTTTGGCCTGGGAAAAAGAGGGTTTAGGGGATGACTGTAAAACTCCTAGGCGTGTTTAGAAAACTTCATCTAGAACTCTTAGCACTGTCCAGGTGTTGTGTACAATGACTGGGTTGTGCCATTGCTGATGAGCAAGTGGCACCTTGTTGCTGAGCCGTTGTCTCTCATCAGTTTACGGCCTCTCCTTCCCGGAAGGTGGCTATCCTACATGAGACCATAGATGTGGGAGGTGCGGGAAAAATCTTTGATGTAATTGTTAGGAAGTGGAGAGTGATTATAACCACATAGTTTTCACCCAGTTCGCAAGTACCTTCTTCATGAAATCTTTTCTGTCCTTCCTTCCTCCCACACTGTCTGGATTAAAGGCAACATTCTGTGACAATTTATCATAGTAGTTTACCCATCTCCTACTAGACTGATAGGTCCATTATGTAAACCTCAAAGCATATACTATGATTGTGGCCATCTAAACTATTAACTGATAAAATTTATTAATAAAAACAGAGTTAGTTGGATCACGTACTTTGTGAGGAGATATATAGCATTAAATATCATTAATTTTTTAATTGAGGTAACATTGATTTATACCATTGTATAAATCTCAGGTGCACATGATTCTATTTCAGCTTCTGTATAGACTACATCATGTTCCCCACCAAAAGTCTAGTTGCTGTCACTGTACAAATGTGTCCATTTACCTCTTTTGCCTCTCTCCTTCCCCCCTGATAACCACGAATCTGTTCTCTGTATTTATGTTTGTTCGTTTATCTTCCACATATGAGTGAAATCATATGGTATTTGACTTTCTCCATCTGACTTATCTCGCTTAACATAATACTCTCAAGGTCTATCCATGTTGTTGCAAATGGCAAGATTTCACCTTCTTTTATGGTTGAGCAGTATTCCATTGCAAGTATAGACCACATCTTCTTTGTCCATTCATCCACTGATGGGCACTTAGGTTGCTTCCACGTCTTGGCTATTGTGAATAATGCTGCAGTGAGCATAGAGGTGCATATATCTTTTTGAATTAGAGTTTTCCTGTTCTTTGGGTAAATACCCAGAAGTGGAATAGCTGGATCATATGGTAGTTCTATTTTTAATTTTTTGAGGAATTTCTATACTGTTTTCCATAGTGGCTGCACTAGTTTGCATTCCTACCATCAGTGTATGAGGGTTCCCTTTTCTCCACATTCTCTCCAATGCTTGTTATTTCTTGTCTTTTTAATAATAGCCATTCTGACAGGCATGAGGTGATATCTCTTTGTGGTTTTGATTTGCATTTCCCTAATAATTAGTGATGCTGAACATCTTTTCATGTACTTGTTGGCCATCTGTATATCCTCTTTGGAAAAATGTCTGTTCAGATCCTCTGCCCATTTTTCAATTGTGTGTTTTTTTTTTTCCTGGAGTTGTATGAGTTCTTTATATATTTAGAATAATAACCACTTATTAGATACGTGATTTGCAAATATCTTCTCCCAATAGGTAGGTAGTCTTTTTGTTTTGTTGATGGTTTCCTTTGCCATGCAGAAGCTTTTTAGTCTGATATAGTCCCATTTGTTTATTTTTTCTTTTGTTTTCCTTGCTTGAGGAGACATATTCATAAAGATACTGCTAAGACCAATGTCAAAGAACATACTACCTATGGTTTTTTTTTTTTTTTTTGGCTGAGGAAGATTGGCCCTGAGCTAACATCTGTGCCCATCTTCCTCTACTCTACACAGGACGCCACCACAGCATGGCTTGACAAGCAATGCGTCGGTGCGCGCCTGGGATCCGAACTGGCGAACCCCGGGCTGCCGCAGTGGAGCGCGTGCACTTAACCACTTGTGCCACCAGATTGGCCCCCACTACCTATGTTTTCTTTTAGGAGTTTTATGGTGTCAGTATTATTAAAATCTGACACTTGTGTAGGGCAGAGAGTCTCATAGTCTTATGAGTACATTATTTAGAAACTTTCAGTTAAACAGGGTGAATCGAACAGATGTGTTGACATCTAACACTTCCTGAAATAACAATAAGGGGATAAAAAGGCAAAAAATTCACAAAGATGAAGAGAATAAAAGAGTAGACAAAAGGAATGTCAATAAAATTGTGGAAGGTATAAAATAGATGAGTGGTAGCTCACAGCATTTTGGAGAAAGCTGAAAGCTAAGTGTCTGCAGTGGGAAAGGGCAGTAAGCAAATTGATTAGAGCCCTGGAGCTCCAGGAGGCTCAAGAATCAGAGGTACTAGGACCCTCCACAATCAGGGAAGTGAGCAGAGTGGGAACCAGGAAGATGGATGAAAGTCTGCATTAGAAAGGGTTAGACCCAAGCTAGGTCCCTTGTGCTGCACGACAGCCACCTCTCCCCACCACAGAAGACTGGAGGCATTGAACAAGAGGCAATCCGGTACCAGCTCAGGTGGGGTGATGAACCATTCTGAAACGGATGCATGGACACACACAGGCCCCAGATGGAACAGTGAACCACTGCCTCTAACCCCTTCCCTGTTCAACTCTGAGAATGCTAGAACAAGGATGTTATCCTTATTTGCAGTGGGAGTGAGGAGAATACTGTAAGATTCATCTCTAGGGAAAAGCTAAGAGAGAAGACCTGCTATACCAATGGTTGAGAGTTCAGGATCCTGTCTGCTCACCTTAGAGAAAAGCCCCCATGGTGATGAGCATCCCCAGCTCATTAGCTTGGAGCCTTGAATTAGCTGTAGGGAAATTCTTCACTTTTAAATAGAAATAGACAGCCCCAGATCACCAGGCATTTGAGGAAAGCCTCTAACACGAAAGTCAGAGATGAAAACAAATGGCCTGGAGTGGGGGAAGAAGGAAGAAAAAGTAAAGATATTCAGAAGAAAAGATTAAGCAGGGGGTGGAAGGAAATGGCTAAGAAACGGTAATTAATGTTCTCAGAGATAAGAGAAGCTATTTCCTTCTTGAAATAGGAATAAGATGACTAGAAAGGAACATTTCAAGAGATAGCTCTTGAAAATTTAAAATGTGAACACAGAAATGAAAAGCTTAGTAGAAATATTTGAAAATGAAGTTAGTGTGAAATCTTTCAAAAGTAGAATCTAAAGACAAGGAGAGGCACAAATAGAAGAGAAGGGGTAAAAAAGGTCCAACATACAAATAACAGAAGTTGTAGGAAGATAAAATAGAGAAGAAAGAGGGGAAGAAACCATCCAAGAAATAATACAAGAAGAAATATTCTAGAACTTAGTTTCTAAGAATGAAGAGGCTTAACCAGGGCTTGGCAAAATGAATGAAAATAGATCCACACAAAGGCCTGTTTTAGTGAAATTTTGGAGAACTGAGGAAAAAGCAGATCCAGAAAGTTTCTAGAGACAAAACCAAAAGATCATAAACACAAAGGCTTGGAAATCAGAAAAACTTTAGAGTTTTCAGTAGCTCTACTAGAAGCAAGAAGACCATGGAACAATGTCTTTGAAACTGTGGAAATGATTATCAACCTAGAATTCAGTACTCAGCCAGACCAGAATCAAGTGTAGAACAGAATGCAGCCGCTTATCAGACATGCAAGATCTCAGAAATGAATGATCTCAGTCAGCCACCCTCGGGGAGTTACTGGAGGATGTGTCGCACCAAAACAAGAAAGAAAAATCAGGCAAGAGGCGTAGTTAGGATCTAGGAACCTGGGGACACGTTGTGGGATAGAGGGGAAGGGAATGCCGAGACGGACAGCCGAGACTGACAGGCTGAGAAAGAAGCTAGTCCAGAGTGAAGCGTGGAATGCAGGCATCAGGTGCAGCCTCCAGAAGGCAGAGAGAGGAGGAGACAGGTTGCTGGTGTGTGATGTGTGTGAACCTGTTGAGAGGAGGTGAAGAGTGTTGGAGAGTGTGGAGCTGAATTAGTAAGATGAAGAACTGCCTCTTTTTAATTTCAAGTGAAACAGAGTTTCAAAGGAAGAAAGTGAAGAGATTAGCACCCTGTGAAGTTTAGCTGCAGGGCTGATTTTCAGCCAGTGTGGCCATGCTGCTTGTTAAGATGCTAGAATATTTCTATACTGATTGGTAAACGATTACTACCTCTAGTGCCCTCCCTGTTGCCCTTTACCTCCTGGAGGGCCCCTAGGCACCTCCCCCGAGTCCCGCCTCACATCCGGCAATTACAAGGTTAACGATTGGCGTGGCAGGGGTCCCCCAGGATCCTACTCACCTCTTGGCCTCTGCTCTGGTTGGTGTCAGGGTACCAATTAAGTATTTTGAACATTACCTTACTTAGTTGTGACTACTATTTACCTAATCATAATATAAATATTGATCTAAGTAAAAATTGTGATAAAATTATCTAGGAGGATGCAGGGAGGAGATGTGTGGGGAGGCAGGAGTTGTAGTGGAGCTAAATTCTTCTTTTCCATAGTAGGAAATCTACAGTTAATATCTGCAGCTGAAAAAAAATTAAAGCTATATAAGCAATTAATTTAGAAATATAGAAAAAATAGCTAAAAGTGTTTAAAAGTGATTCCTTCTGGGGAGTGGAAATTGTGTGTGAGGGGGGATGTGGTGTAGGGGATTGCTGTTTTTCATTATATGCCTTGTAAAGCTAAAAAAAATTTAAATTCTGAATGTCTATTACATTGAGGAAAAAACTAATTTAAAATAGAATATTATTTCAAAAAACAGCTTTGGTCTTCTAAACAACTTGATTTTCTTTTCTTCCAGTGGCAATATGATCACCTCACAGCTACCTATCTTCTGCTTCAAGCCAAGAAGGCTCGGGGAAAACCAGTTCGTCTAAGGCTTCCTTCTTTTTCCTGTGGACAAGTCAGCGCTACCCCCTTCACAAACATCAAGGTAAATGTTAGAATCTTCTGTGTGGACACCCACTGCTCTTGCCCTGTGCCCTGGTCATGAGTGGATACACCACTGGAAAAGTTAACTTTGCTGGTGTTGAGGAGCCAGAGGCAAGTCAGTTTATGATTTAAATATTTTTGATGAGGAAAATGGGAAATTCTGAACTTGAACTCTGAAATTTTTACCTTTTTTTCACAAAAGTAATTCCTGATTGTTGTAGAAAAATTTTAAGCCACAGATAAGCTAAAGGAAAATAGTATTTAGCTATAAACTTACTACCTATCAATAATATATAGTTTATATTTTCCTGTGTCTTTCTAGTCTTTTTTTAGTATGCTTATTTATATAATTTATGCACATGTAAGTGCTTTTAAAGGACACAGTATTATTGAAATGTAGATGACAACTTAAGAGATTGTTGGGAGTAAGACCTGTGAATACAGGACATATTATACTTCATATGACATGAAATATTTCAGTGAATGTTTTGATACTCATTGTTTTAAGGGTTTGGGTTTCGTTTGTATTGAGCAACTCACCTTTCTTGTATGAGTTAGTTGTAACCAAATTATTTTTTTCAATTTTGTTGTCTTTGTCTCATTTTCCTTGGTCGTGAACATTTAGAATGGTGGAGAAGCTTTACATATTGGGAAGCACTGTGTCGTTCCTAAGTGCTCACGTTAGTCTCTGTTTTCTGTGTGATTCTTTGTATCTCCCTGGTGTAAAATTCTGCCTTCCGAATACTTTGGCAGATGGGTGCAGAACTTTGTAATATAATCTTCCCTCAGATTAATTCAAATTGCAGTTTAATGATTTTAGCACTAGGAAACTCTACTTTTGTTATTCTCAGAGAGAGGTAGTTGGCCCTCTTCATGGAATCCAGTATAACCCAAATGATTATGTGGGCAAGGTGATTTTTTTTTCTTTTTCTTTAGGTTTCAAAACTCTGTAAAACAAATGTTGAAATGCCACCTCTTTCATGTTCTTTTGTTAAATTCCCTGCTCCCCCATCCCCTCGAGTTCCTTTGACACTCATTTAGATCTCTCTTTTTGGCCTTTGTCAATCATGTGCTGCAGGTGTAGTGGGTCTTGTGTCTCTGCTGCACTAACTTGTCTCCCTTCTTCCCTCCCTAGTTGATCTTTTGACCAAACTAAGAACTAGAAATTGTTAGTGCAGGTGGCTACTGTATAAAGAAACCTGTGAAGTGAGATAATCGTATTCCTGGGATGGTTTTCTAGACTGTTCTTAGAGAGTTTGTTGGGCTGGTGAATACCCTATCCCCAGGCGGATCTTATATCCGTGGACTTTGTGAATCAGCCCATCAGCCATCCTGCCTGCATCACCAAACCCTTTAAACTCTCAGACTCAAGTTAACACCTTTGGGTCCAGGAGGACACAAAAGCACGAACTTTGCTTTTGATCAAGGTAATTTCGGAAAGGCATTAGATACCTCTGTACTTAAAATAACCATTTCAGCTAAATTTTTAAATTTATGATACCTCAGTTAAGAGGTCTGAGACATTTTCCTAAGCCATTGGATTTTCTTATGTCTGGATCGGCCTGGTCTCAATTCCTCTGCTTATATGATTTATAGAGTATACAAGTGGAAAAGATCTGGGAAGATATTTAGTCTTATCTTCCATCTAATGAGCATTTACCTAATAATTTAATTGTTTGGGCATTCATATTATTAAATCAGTTTTTATAGCAGATAGAGAGACATTTGAATGGCAAGCATGAAGTAGAAATCAAATTTTGGGTTCTTGTCTGGTCTTTATGCAAGTCATTGAGATCTGAAGCAAGCCAGAGAGTCTCTATCTCCCCTTGATAGAATCACCCTTTTTCTCTGGGGTGTTGTTTATAAGAAAGTAAGCAATCTTGAACTGTTAATCAATTGATGGCACTTTAAGTGAAACAATAATACAGTCTGGTTCAAGAATCACAAGAGACTACATCATCAACATCAATAGCATTTTCAGGGCCCATCGTAGGCTCTTGGGAAACAAATCTCTATGAAGTGTGGTACTTGGTGAGGCAGGACATACACAGAGACAACACCACATCATATGGATTAGTGCCAGATGAGGGGCTAGAGGTGTGCTGTAGGGGCTTTAGAGGATGGGAGTGACCACTGGGTGATCCAAATGGACCCAGAGTCAACTTGAGAAAAATGCAAAAGAAGGGGCACAGTATTCAGGGCAAGATAAATGGAATTAGCAAAAGCTCAGGCACCTGAATGTGCTCATTGTGTTCTGTTGACTGTGCCTAGACTTGTTTGCTTAAAATGAGGAGTTCAAGTAGGGAAAAGTGAGAGGAAGAGAGAGAAAAAGTGAGAGGAAGAGAGAGAGAGTGAGCTGGAAGGATAGTGAGAGTTAGATCATAGAGAGCCTTAAAATACCACATCGGAGGGGTTGGACTTTATGCCGTAAGTGATGGGAACCATGGATTTTTGAGCAAGATATGACAAGTCACTGACATGACTAATTTTGAAAAATTCATCCAGTGGTATATGGAATCGTCAGTCAGGGAAGGGTGTGCTGTTACTCTCTTCTGTAGTAGCTGTGACAGCCATCATTCATACAACACTGTACTTTCCCCACTGAGCCTAGACCTAGCTTTAGCATTTTTCTCAGCCTAGCACTCCATGTAGCTAGTTCTAGCTGGTGGTAACTGACAATCCTAGAGAACTCTGTCATCCCCGGGTGAGAGGGTGGAAGGACTGGTGGCAGAGACCATATTGTCTGTTTGAACAGTTCAGGTCTGAGAAGATTTGTCCTTGAATTAGAACAGTGGCAATGGGACTGGAGGAGAAAGGATGTGGTTAAGAAATTAAAGTTGCCTGGCCAGGTTAACTAGAAGTTGGGGGAAAACGGAAGGAGGGAGAAATAAAAAATCCAATTACACCCCACAGTCTTAGAATTTAGGGTATATTTGGTATACCCTTAGTTTATACAGGGGGACGAATGAGGGAAAATAAATGACTCTGGTGGTATTGTTAGCACAGGACCTCAAATACTCTGTCCCCAGCAGATCTTTCCTAAGGCTAATTTATTCCTGCTGCTAACTACTCTGTTCTTACAACTAAGAAACCTGTGTTTTCAAGTTGTTTCCCTTCCATCTTCTACTTAGTCAGAGCTTTTTATTTGTAGATACGCAGAGGAGTTATTTGTCTGCTATTATAGCAATTATTGGACAATGATAAGCTATGTAGTATGCCATGTAACATAAGAATGTTCCAAGACATTGTTTGAGAGTCAGAGATTCTCCTATCTAATAATCTGAATGAAATTTTTTGACTTCCGTTTTCTGTACTGAATAGTGAGCTCCTTCAGTATACGATCTCTCGTTTGTTTCTGCTTCCAGGGCCTTGCCCTGTGCCAGGAATACACTATTTTAAAAACTGAATCATGGTGGTGGTGTGTCTAAGTTCTTCTGTTTTTGAATAGTCAAAGAATCTGAGTCTAGAAGATGTCACCACAGGTGATGAAAATGATGTGGCTGGATTAATAGACCAGGAATGGTGTGCAGACAATTCATCAACAGGTGTGACTACTCCCCAAACACCACAGGTTGGTTATTTTTATTGCTATGTAAAGCAGGATATGTTGTTTCGATTACAAAAACATCTAGGCTGTAACATGAGATCTAGTATGTTCTTGCAAATTTAATGCATTCCTAAGCCATTAGAAACATTAATGAGAGATTGTTGGAATATGAATGAAAGGGAGACCAATTATTTCCAAGTTGAAGAAAGCCAAGATTCTAGTTTGGAGCACTTTACCACCCCTTTTTTCTTTTCTTTTCTTTTTTTTTTTTAAAATGAGGTATAATTTACATGTGGCTAAATAGTTAAATTCACCAATTTAGTGTACAACTCTATGTGTTTTGGCAACTGCATAGCCGTGTAACCACCACCAAAATCAAGAACAGTCCTGCGGCGCCCCCAAAATTCCCTCATGCCCCTTTGTAGTCAGCTCCCCCTTCCCCCCAACTCAGAGCAGCAGCTGATCTGTTTTCCTCTCCTTTTGATCATCTTTTTCTCCTTGGAGTTTGTTGAGCGTCTTGAATGTATAGTTACTATTTTTCCTCCGCTCTCTCCGAGGGCACCAGCAGTGTGCACTCCTTCCTTCCGTGTGAAGTACAGCAGCAGGTGTGCCTGTCTCTGTTCAGGGGAGCTCACAAGAGACTCAGAGTCCAGAGTTTTTATTGGGGGCTGGTTACACAGGCACTCTGCCCATGTGATCAGTTACAATCGTAGAAATTCTAGACTTCAGAAGGAAAGCAGGTGTTCACCATAAAATCACACTGTGCCATCCGTACAACCTGGTGTAGCAGGTTTCAGTGCCCCAGACATACGAACAGACTTATCTTCATTGGTAACGTTTTAAGAGCTGAGTTCCCAGACTCCAGCCAGGACCACTGTGTTAACTCTTGTGCACAGCAAGGCCCCTGGTACATGTGTGTGAGAGTTCTACACGGTATATACTTAGGAGCGGAATGAGTATCTTCAACCTTACCAGATAATGCCAATTTTTTCCCCAAAATGGTTGTGTTAATTATACTTCAACCAGCAGTATAAGAGTGTTCCCACTGCTCCACATACTTATCAATACTTGATATTTTTAGCTATTTAATATTTTCTAATCTGGTGAGTGTAAAGTGATAGCTCACTGTGGCTTTAATTTATACTTTTCTGATTACTTAGGCATCTTTTTATGTATTAATTGTCCAATGGTGTTTTCTGTTCTGTGAAATGGTTTTTCATGTGCTTGCATGTTTTTCTATTGGATTGTTTCTCTTCCGGTTTTATCAGAAAAGTTCTTAATTTAACCTTAATTCTAATCCTTTGTTGGTTATGTGTTGCAAGTATGTTATCTGAGTTTGTCACTTGTCTTTTTACTTTGATGACAAATGTCATTAATGAATTAGAAGTTGTCAGTATTTTCCTTTATGGTTTGTAATTTTTGTGTCTTTTTAAAGAAAGCTTTCCTTAGCCAAAAGCCATAAATGCATTCATATATATTGCTTCTAAAAGTTTTAAACTTTTCCTTTCACGTTAAGTCTTCAATCTATCGGGAATTAATTCTCCTGTATGGTATGAGGGAGGGAACCAGTTTTTCCCTCATATAATCAGTTGTGCCAGCACCATTGAAAATTCTATTCTTTCCCCACTGATCTGCAGTGGTACTTCTATCACATCTCATGTTGTCAAGAGTATGTCTGTTTCTGGGCTGTATTTTGTTTCATTGGTTTATTTGCACCAATACCATATATCTTAATTACTTTAATTTTATAATTGTTCTTCTATCTGGTTGGCCAGTTTCCTGTCATCTCATTCTTCTTTAGGAATGTCTTGGCTTTTCTTGCCGCTTTGCATTTCCATATACATTTTAGAATCATTTTGACAAATTTCACATGCACTCAAAAATTGAAATTGCATTGAATTTAAGATTGTTTGGGAAAAATTGAAATCTAGACCCTCAGATCCCCCATCCATAAACACAGTATACCTCTCTATTTATTAGGTTTTAGTTAATTACTTTCAATAAAGTTTTATAAATTACTCCCAAAAACCTTACATATCTTTTACTAGACTTATTCCTAGGTACTTTTATTTTTTTATTGCTACTGGGAATGGTAGGTTTTTTAAAATCACATTTTCTAACTGACTGGTACTGGTGTATAGATATGAAATAGATTTTGTGTGTTGATCTTATATTCAACAACTTTCCTAAACTCTTTTTAATTCTCACAATTTGTATTTTCTTTTGAGTGTTCTATATAGAAAATTATATCATCTATCGATGACAATTTTGCTTTCTTCCTTTCTAATTCTTATGCCTTTTAATAACTTTTTAATATCTTTTTCTTTTATTACTTCACTTAGTAGTCCAGGCAGTATAGCAGGCATTCTGTGTTCTTCCCAATTATAAAACAATGCTTCTAATATTTTGTCATTAAATATGATGTTTGTTCTCTCTCTCCCTCTTCCTTCACCTTCTCCCTTCTCCTCTCCCTCATCCTCCTTCCTCTCCCTCTTCCCCCGCTGCACCCCCTACCCCATGTATTTCAGGCTAAGACTTTTTTTTTTCCGTCTAGTCCCAGTTTGCTAAGATTTGTTTAAATATCATGAGTCTCTGTTTCAGAAAAAGGATTAGATAAGATTTATCTATTGAGATAATCATCTTCCATTTGTTAATGTAGTATATTATATGTTATATTAATAGGTTTGATGTTAAACCCATCTCACATTCTTTAGACAAGCCAGGTTGGGTCATGATGTATTACTATCTTTTTTATACGTTGCTGGGTTTAGTTTGCTAATATTTTCTTTAGGATTTTTGCTTCTATGTTGTTAAATGAGATTGGCTTATAATTTTCTTTCTTATATGACTCTTTTTTCTTTGGAAAATGTTAATTTTATTATTACATAAGTAATACATGGATACATTCATCTTGTAAAAAATTCAAACAATATAGAACTATTCTTTCTTCTTTCCTTGCATCCATCCCATCTTATATTAATCTTATCTGATTTGGGTCTTAAGACTATGTTAGTCTTCTAAAATGAATTGGGGTGTGTTGCTTTTTTATTCTCTGGAGTGGTTTTTAGGAGCTAGGAATTATATTTTTCTTGAATGTATGATAGAACTTATAGCTATCTGGGCCTGGAATGTTTTTATGAGAAGCTAGTTAACTACTGATTCAATTTCTTTTGTGTTTATGGGACTATATAACATTTCTATTTTTTCTTGTCAGTTTGGTGAGTTTTGTTTTTCTAGTGTCCATTTCATCCAAGTTTTAAAATACATTGGCATAAAGTCAACGGGAGGATATTATGATCTTGTTACTATCTGTAGTATCGGTTTATGTCCCCTTTTTCATTTCTAAAGTGTGTTTGTTTATTTGCAGTTCTCTCATTTTTTGGATCAGTCGTGCCAGAGTTTTGTCAGTTTTATTAGTCTTTTCAAAGAACCAACTTCTGGCTTTGTTGGTTCTATCTATTATATCCTTGTTTCTATTTTGTTATTTTCTGCCCTTATTTGTCTGTTAGATCAGTCTTAGTAAATTCTACTGTTAAATCTTCTGTGTCCATACTGATTTTTTTGTCTGCTTGATCCATAAATTTGTCTGCTTGAGAATGAGATCTGTCAAAAATCTTGTAATGTGATTATAGTTTATCATTTTCTCTTTGTAGTCTGTCTATTTTTGCTTTATATATATGTTTGAAGCTATATAATTAGCATATAAGTTCAGAATTTTTTTTCTGGTGAATTGAACCTTTTATCATTTATAGTGATTCTCTTTATTACTAGTAATGTTTTTCTCTTTGAACTCTATTTGTTTCTCTGATGGTAAGATAGCTATATTGATTCCTTTTGGTTGTTATTTGTACGGTATATATTTTTTCATCTTTTCGTTTTCAATGTTTCATGCCCTTATATTTTAGGTATAGCTCTTTAAAACACCATAGAGTTAGATTTGGTATGCAAACTGAAAATCTTTGTCTTTTGAGTTGAGAGCTTAAAAAACTTACATTTATTTTGATTACTAATGTATTTATCATGTATCTGCCATCTTATTTTGTGTTTTCTATTTGTCCCACTTTTTCTGTAATTTTTCCCATATTTCTTGTTTTTTGTTAATTTCTGTCTTCATTCCATGTGTTTCTATTTCATTTCTATTCTTTTAATATTTACTCTAAATTTTTAACATGCTATTTAACTTAACCAAATATAAAGTTAATCTGTCTTTATTTTCCTTCCAAACATATGAAGTCCTTGGAACACTAATCTCTGATCACCCCTCCTGGATTACGTACAGTTGATCTTATGATTCACTATGCTTCCTGTATATGAGGATTTGTATCTTTAATCAGTTTTGGAAAATTCCTTGAACAATTGCTGCTTTTTCATTATCTCTATTATCTATCTCTGTAACTTAGAATAGACCTATGGTAGACCATCTCACTTCATTTTCCATTTGTCTTAAACTCTCTTTCATATATCCCATATCTTTTTCTCTCTGGACTACGTTCTAGATGATTTCTTCAGATTTATTTCTCATTCATAAATTCTCTTTTTATTTCCATCTAATCTGTTTTTTGACATGTCTATTGAGTTTTTCATTTTTATCATTACATTTTTTGTTTCTAGAGATTTTTATTCTTTTTCAAAACTACTTTAACATTTTTGGTAGTCGCTTTTTCTTTCCTCAGGTTTCCACATGGAAATTTTTATCATTACTTTTTTTTATTTTTTTTTTCAATTTCTTTTATTATTGTAAACATCTGAACATATTTATGTTCTGTATTTGGTAATTTTAATATCTGATATCTTATGGATTTGATTCTGTTTATTTTTTTCTGCTGACTTTCATTCATGATGTTTGTGTCTTTTGGAATTTTTTTATAGGCTCATTTTTCTTGGTACTTTGTGGGAATTCTTTAAGGCTTGGATTGAGGTTGAAGGCTTGGGTTGTGTTGGATTGAAACTGTTTTTTCAAATAGGAATTATGTTTGCTTCTACCACACTCCTGAGACATAACCAATTTAAGACGACTTTAAGTTAAATTTTTGGCTTGAGAGTTCTGGAACCGCGCAGGTAGTATGAATTTGGGCCCAAACCTTTGTGAAGACTGTGCTGTGGTTATTTACAAATTATTAAAGGAGACTCTTTTTTCCTCCTCCAGGGCCAAGGCCAAGGCAGACACATTTTCTTGCCGACTCCTTTGCAGGGCAGATTTATATTTAATTCCCCCTTTCATTTTAGCTTTAGCCCCTCCTGGCTTTACGGGGAGCTTTGGACCTGACTTAGCACCTTGCATGGGTCTAAGGCTTCCGTGGCTATGAGAACCCCTGCTGTGGATTATCCGAGATGGTAGGTGGAGGCCCTTAGGGTGGTGGACAGTTTCAGCCTTGGGGGCGTCTCTGGATTCAGTTACATCTCCTGTTTTTAGTTTGGCCTCTGAGGATTTTCCTTACTTTTTTGCGAGCTTAACCATAAATTCAAAAGGATTAAAAAATATTTTCTATCCAACATTTCTGTTTAGAGTATTTTAACATGGTTTTTCTGCCCTAATCATTGACTAAACTTTTATTTTTTGGTACATGTAAGAGACAAACCATGGCAATCTAAGTATGGGAAGCAATTCTTAGGGATTTATTTCTGGCCATTCTCAATATTACCTAGGATCTAGGTAAGTTTGATTGAACACTTGGCCTGAAACATGTTGAAAATTACCTGTCAATAGAACAGACTAAAGTGATCTTCATGTACTAAAGAGCACTGAATATACATTTTCAAATTTCCTGGTATTGCCAATAATATCCTTTTGATAATATTTCATTTTAATAAAAATGGTACAAGGTAATTTGCAAATGATTAAGGCATGTTGTAAAGAAATTGACTTTTCTTCTTCAGCGTGCTTTATCCAGTAACTTTTTTTTCCAGTTTGCCAAGCATTGGACAGAATCAAATGGTCTGGAATCTAAATCATTAACTCCAGTATTATGCAGAGCATCTGCCAATAAATTAAAGAACAAAGAGAATGTATATACTCCTAAGGCTGCTGTAAAGAATGAAGAGTGCTTTGTATTTCGTGAGCCAAAGACTCCAGTTAATAAGAACCAGCATAAAAGAGAAATCCTCGCTACACCAAATCGTTTCTCTACACCCTCAAAAGGTATTTGCTATGTGGATTAAGCAGTGGTAAAATACTTTCAAATTCCATTCTTCTCACCATGCTAAATAAACATACAGCAGGTCAGAAATGACTAGCATTGCTCTCAAGAATTTCTAGAAGCCAAGCTGTTTTTTTATCATATGTTATTTAAATTAGTTGAAATGGAAGCATATTAGTCAACTTCTAATTTTTCTTAAATGATATGAAGTTTTTCTCTTTTTCACATATGTCAAGTTGAATCATAGCATCATAGAAGATCAAAGCTGACAGGCAAGTTAGAGCTCCTTTAATCCACCTGCCTTGTCACAGCTGAAGAACCTGAGACTCAAACAAGTGATTTGCCCAAGGTCATGTGTCCAGGTTTGGACTTGCCCCTTTGCCCTCACTTATAAGGACTGAAGTGGAAGTCTCTGCTGAGCCCTTCACACTCTGGATCTCCAGTTCTGGTAGCTGATCCTTCTCTGCCTGTTGTATTATTGCCCATACTCCAGCAGACAGGATAAAGCTGTGATGCCCTTCCAGATATGTGTATCTTTATCCAGATATTACAACTCTCTCGTTTCCCTTGGTTTCCTCTTCAGGTTACTCACCACCAATGATTTAAGCTGATTCCTTTATGACCCTTCAGTGTTTTGTTTGCTGGCCTCATCTGGACACATTCTGTTTTGTCCGTGTGCCTCTTAAAACACAGTGCCCAGAAGTGAACCCAGTTTTCCAGTCCTGGGTCTCACCAGGGTAAGACAGGAAGCGTCAGGAGAGTAGAGACTCTGTCTGCCACATTTATTGCAGCATCACTTAGTACATAGTAGGGGCCACGTCTGTTGTCTGATACATAGTAGGTGCCCCATGCCTGGTATATGGTGCGGGCCATATTTGTTGAACGAAGGAATGGATACATTAGAGAGAGCCTGAAGGGATTTTATTTACTGTGATCTAGATTCTATCAATTTTTTAAATGACCCCTAAACTTTATTAAAAGCCTTTTTTCCACCATTTGTGACCTACTCTTGTTTTATGTTAAGACCCTAATGAACCCAAGCCCTGAAACATTGCTGTGTGAACTGCTGCTAATCCACATCCTGCCATCGCGCTCCCAGTTTGCTAATGGGGCTGATAGGCATTGGATCCAGAGGTCTGCTTCTTATACATAAAGATATTCTGAAAAACCTTTTCAGAATTTTTGCTGGAAGTTCTATTGTTATGTTAATGGCGTTGTCCAGTTCATCAGCTCAAACAACACTTTCCCCTAAGTTGTGAGACTACTTTGGTGTGACATGTGTTTGTGTGTGGCTGCCTGTGGTGGTTATGAGGGTTCAGTCAGGTAACATCTGCATGCAGTAGGACCTCAGTGGTGGCTGCTATTGCATCTTTTCCTAACGAGGGGGGTGTCTCTTTCTCTCCTGTTATTTATCTTAATATCGCCACAACGTCCTGTGTGAGTCAGGAGGTTGGGTGGGGAGATAAGATGGACCTTAGCTCATTGAGGGCTGTTGTTTTTAAGCCTTTGATGCTTATAGTCCCTTCTGTTATTGGTAAATTTTACTTTTTATCTAATTCTGAAGGTTTTGAAATCTGGATAGTTTTAGAATTTATAATCTTAAGGTGTCATCAGTTTACATATCTTGTCCCTGTGAGAAAGATTGTGTTGGTCAAAAGCTATGATTGGCTGTTTTTCTTTAAACATAAGAGACGCAAGTGGCTGAAGCCCCAGTTGAGAGCTCCCATTAGTGTTCTCTCTGCATTTTACTTTTACTGAGTCATTTTGACATAAGCATTAATTTCATTTTCTGCGTCCTGTACGTCCAGTCAGTGACACTTTGCTGGAGGGTAATTGTGGTAGTAGCTCCTGTTAGCACGCAAAGGTGAAAGCTGCTTTCACAGATGCTGTCGATTGATCTCATTCTCTAGTTCTTGTGGAACCAGAGGGAACAGTGCTGAGTACTCGTAAACAAAACAAGACCCTCCATCCCTTTTTAAAAACTTGATATCATATATTTATTAGAAAGTGAATATTATTACAACTTTTAGATCATGAGCAAAAAGTTAACTAATCAGTGGTAACCAGATTTGTTATTGCAAATTTGTCACAAACCGTCTGGGATACAAACACCCTCCTAGAAAAACACACAACTCTGGAGTAGGGAATAGAACAATAGCCAAAGCTCAAGCCTCTTTAGAAACTGTTGTCAGGCTTTCACAGGGGATTGTTCTCTTAGCCTAACAGGAGCTGAATCGGGCTATGAACTGAATTAACACCTCTCAATGCTGTATCAATTAAAGGCATAAATTGGGTCCTTGTATAAATACAGACTGACTTAGTTATAGAAAAGAGAATCAGTAATCACGAAATCTGTATTTATATGATCTATTTAGATTTGTCATATGATATTTATAATAAAATCATAAGCATGGCTTCAGTTTTGCAGTGAAGAAAAAGAAGAGCCACATGTGCAAAGCAAAATGATTTTATCTTCATTATAAATCACACAGAAACATTTCTTTAAAGAACTAGAGCCTTAGCATCACTGGCCAGGTGATTACGGTATTTCTGAGTCAATGAACGAGGTGATGTCTGCGTTATTGATAGAAATTTTGAAACCATAGTGTGTCGGCTACATTTGGTTTGTGGTTGCTTTTTTTCTAATAGCTAGAAACCAGTGCCTGAAGGAAACTCCAATTAAAATGCCAGTAAATTCAGCGGGAACAGAGATGTTAATGACAGGTGTCATTAGCCCTGAGAGGCGGTAAGTGTTCTGTTTTTCAGACTCTTTGATCTTTAGCGTATGTAACCACTTTTCCTTCTTTCATATCTGATAAACCTGATTAAGATAAACTATCATGTAGATTACGTTGGAGACTGTACGAGAATGTCTGTCTGTATGAGGATAGTCTGTGGCCATTACTGGAGCTGATGCCACTGCCTTCCTTATGGGGTAGAATTGTGAAACTCATCAGCAGTAGGACTGGCACCTTAAGTTAAATATAGCAGGCTGGGAAGACAGTGGCCCTGGCCACAGCCACATGGTTCCCTCTCTAAGGCCCATCTTTCCCTTCACTTCTGCCAGTAGAGTATAGACATTCACTAACAGCATCGCTCAGATAGTAAAGATACTAAAGGGTGTTTTAAAGAAAGCCCATTCCTCTTGCATAAACAGTTCTGCTGCATAGATGAGCCTTCATTGTCTTTTATAGCTATTTTTTTAAGCAGGATCTATTGTCAGGACAGTTCAGGAATTAGAATGGGATCTAGATATGAGATGATACTATGGCATTATTATTAATTTTCTTGATGTCTTAATGGTATTGTGGTTCTGTAGGAAAATGCCCTTATTCATTGGTGATGTACGCTGAAGAGTTTCAGAGTGAAGTATCATGATATCTTCAAGGGATTACTTTCAGATGGCTCAGCAAAGATATCTATGTATTTACTGTATTTATTATCCTGTCTATATATGTGGAGAAAGCAAGTGTGGCAAAATAGTAACAACTGTTGAATCTAAGAGGATATTTGGATTTTCATTGCATTGTTTGTTCAACTTTTCTGTATATTTGACATTTTAAAAAAAAGGAGGGGAAAAGTAGCTTTGCCAAGTGGCAGTTGGCAGGGGGAAGGGTGACGGCTACTTTCCAGTGGGAGATGGCCTTCGTGCTCCTCAGGAGGAGTGAGGTCGTCTGGCCCTGGCATACCTGAGTGAGGCTCAGCTAATGCACAGCCTGTGGGGGCCCCAGCAGGCAGGAGACCCAGCTCTACTCGTGGGTGTTTCTGTTTTTTAAGGTGTCGCTCAGTGGAAATGGATCTCAACCAAGCACATGTAGAGGAAACTCCAAAAAGAAAAGGAACCAGAGTGTTTGGGAGCCTTGAGAGGGGGTTGGATAAGGTGATCACGGTGCTCACCAGGAGCAAAAGGAGGGGCTCGGCCAAAGACGGGCCAAGACGACTGAAGGTAAGTGAACTGGAATTCTCTAATATGGATTTCAGAAGCTGGCTGCTAACTGGGCTACGTTTCTTTAAAGAAAAGTACGAATGAATGAATTGATTAGTATTTTTTATTTACTTATTCATTCATTTAGTTAATAGATGTTTTTTGAGCACCTGAAATATGCATGTTGCTATGCATGTTGCTATGCAGTAGGCTTTGAGAATGCAGCGGTAAGTTAGATACAGTCGCTCCTTTTCAAGGAACAAATAACTATACTTCAGACATTCGAGTTCGGGTGGAGGGATTAATCACGAGGCAATGGAGATGGGAAGCATGGGGCATATATGAGGAACTGAGAGCTGCCTTAGGGATGGGGACTTGAGCTCAGTTGTCGTATCTCTGGTGCATAGAAGAGTCCCCGACACATGGATACCTTTGTGGGCCCTCACAAAATATTCGAATGCATGGGAAGTTCATTTGAACTTTGAGTGTGGTGTTTGTGAAGAAAACAGGAGCAGCAGACTGGGCAGTAGGCTGAGAGGTCCTCACAGGCCTGGCTAAGGATCTTGGACCTTATCTGATAGACTTATTATGCTTCAAAAGGTTTAACGTGTCAGTGGGGTGGGCAATGTATTTGGGGGGGAAAGGAAAGGAAAAAGAAATGATTAGTAGATATAAAATACCTTTTACTCTCTTGGATTCTCTCTGCCCATTCATTGAAACATCTAATGAATGGCAATTTTGCTTGGGGGAGGTAAGAGGTAAAGGAGTGAGTAAGACACAGCCCGTGTCCTTGAGGAACTCACAGAGTGGCAGTGAAAATAGGCAGGGATGTTGCTCTGTTACCGGGGGTTCAGTGCTGTAATAAAACACGTTCCAAAACGTGTGGGGCCTAGAGGAGGGAGGAAAAGATGGTAGTGCTCCCCGTGATTGGGGACTGGGTCTGTGTTTAGTTTTTCACTGAGACACTCATTTTGATCAAATCTAGGCAGGTTTGGGGAAAGGAAATTGCTGAGCTGTTGGGCAGAAAGATGCTTCGGGGGAGAATATTCTGAGATCCCATTATGTCCTGTTTTAAAGAAGATAGGACTTACCCATTAGTGTCTGTTGCCCTGTTGAACTTTATATAACACACTGAGGGGTTTTATGGTGAATAGGGCTGTTTATTAGGCATATTTTATACTTTTATTCTAAGATTTCTCTAGTTGGAGACAGTTGTGAAGTATTCCAAACTCTGACATTGGGATTAAGAAAACTATAGTGCCATTTCCCTAAAAAACATTAAATAAAGAAAAATTAAGGAAACTTGTCCGATTATATACATTATTGATATATCATATACTGTTATCAAATACTGATGGATAATATTCTAAAGTTGTTCACCTATGTAAATTGTTTGGAACCTGAATGCATTTTTCATTAGGAACTGCTGTGATGTTAGCTGGCTTTCTAGGTATCCCCCAGTACTTCCGGGATGTAGGAGAAAAACCACAAGATTGGGATGAGAAGACCTGGATTCTAGCCTCAGCTTCCTACTGTGTAGCTTGGATATGTCATTTTATCCCTGACTTCCTGTTTCTTTATTTGTGAAAACTGGGTATAATGTCTACTCAGCAACTTCACAGAGCTGGGATGTATAAACAAGACTGTCTGTATAAGATGCTACATTGCATATGAAATGCTTATTAATATAGGGTGTTCCAGTGTCAGGTATCATTCTTATTATTAATGTTGAGCATTTTAACCCCAGTGTAGCAGAACCACAGTCCTATTTAGTACAAACCCAAGATCTGAAACTTCATCTAACTTTGGATCTTTAACCCTTTTTAATGCTTTAAGTTTTTACAGAACCACAGGACCTGCTATAGGAAATTAGCTTCACTTTTTCAACCCACTTATTAAATTAAAAAATCGTAAACTTCCAAAAAAGTTAAAAGGATGGTACAAAGAACATCTTAGTTTTATAAGATAGCAAATCATATGTAGTTAAGCCCTCTGTTAGGAAGCAATCTATAAAAATCTGAAATTTAAATAGATAAATTAGGATTAATTCTTTATTTTACAAAAGGAATCATTAAAATTGTGGTTTGAAAGTGTTCATTTTATTATTATTTTGACAAAGCCAATTTAGTTTGTTGACAGACCCCTGGACTGGGACCCAAGAGACAGAGTCCTGTCACAGCTGTGCCACTTACTCCTTTTATGACTTGAAGCTGGGGTCCCCACACTCCAGTCACTTAACACTCACTTTCATATCAGCCTCGAGGTATAGAGGTATAATTGACATACAATAAACTGCACATATTAAAAATATACAGTTCATATACTTTGGCATTATATAGACACCTATAAAATCATCACCACAGTCAAGATGACTAACTTTTTTAAAACTTGCATTTATTTAAAAGGAAACTATATATCATTAGTTTTTGCTAATTTTATTTCTCTAAATCAGATTGGAGCAAATACATAGATAAATATTTTAATTTTTATATTTATGTTCCACCCAGAGTTATGTCGTGTATCTCGAGTGACAGTTTATATTACACTCTGGGAAACCTCACCTTAAGAAATATATATCTCTTCCTTGGGCCATAGGTTCTTAATTTAAAAACTAAGGTAGTTGGGTCTTTTCCAATCTTAGCGTTTTGTTATTTGTAACAAGAACTCAAATCTGAAAAACATAGAAAGTATGATTTTTTTTGACAGTATGATTTTTTTCCTACCTTCCTACCACTAGGAAGATAGAGAGTTTTGTCTGTCTCCAGGACAAAAACTGCCTGGCACCTCGTACACATTCAATAAATAGATGTTGAATGAATGATGGGTGGATACCAATTAGAAATGGAATTGTTTCTGAGAATTGTGGTCTCAGTCAATGAGAAAAAAATAACTTGACATCACACCAGAGGGGAAGCGGGGAGGGAGGAGGGTGAAAGGGATAATTCGGTACACGTGTGTGGTGATGGGTTGTAATTAGTATTTTGGTGGTGAACATGATGTAATCTATGCAGAAATAGAAGTATAATGATGTACACCTGAAATTTTTACAAT